CAGGTCCAGCTGTGGCCTTGGGAGACAGGAGTCTTGAGATGCAGCTAGTTGGGTAATATATTCTCTCATGACCTGTAGTAGCCTGAAAGACTGTGACGTATGCCTGATGGGTGGAACCCGTTCCCCGCTATCGGTTCCTGGGCTATTGATCGTTGTTCACCTGACCAGAAGCCATATCTTACCATATCTTACCAATAAACCTGATCAAGGACTATTGTGTACAGAGTGGTCACTCCAGGACCTGACAATAGCATTTGCATAGCCAGGCACTGCTGGTATGCTGAGAGTATCTGTACTATGGTTTAGAATTCATTGGCCTTCTCATTACGCCTTCATTCATTTCAGCGTGAAGTGGCATGCCTGATCACCTGTTATTTCAGGTTCTAGCCTGCTTCCCAGTTGCAGTCAGTACATTCACTGTTTGAAGGTTTACTGGTGTTCAAATATGTATCTGATTGAGTTAAAAAACCAACTCTGTAAGTGCAACCTCAAACGGCTTCCCTGCAGGTACCCCACATACACAAGCAAATGGGGCTCCCCCAGAAGTTCTCCCACTCACAGTGACTTACAGATGTGAGTTTTCTTTATGTTCTTTATGGCTGCCTGACTTGATGTTTGTTAATACCAAAGGCAGGGAACTGTGGATGCTGATGAATTCACACACTGCCTCATGGAAACTATAGTCCCCTCTGCCCCCCTTCTGCCAAATAAGTATTATTAAAAGTTTGTTCCACTAACAAGAGTCGAACACTCAGGTGCTGTGAGGCTTGTTGATGCCCTGTTGGTTCCTAAATAGGAAAGGGAAACAAACTGTTCAAACACCTCACACAGAGGCCTTCTCACACTACCCAATGGGAGCTAGAGTTATTTTTGTTACACCTCTGAATGCAACTGTACACGACTCTAGTCCTGAATCATGACAGACAGATGCCCTAGCTGGCTGCCTTCGCAGGTTTGTGGACATGTAAGCACACAAAGCAACATGCCAGTGCGAGGTGCAGGGATAGCAGGATCAGGTTCTAGGGTCAGCGTGCCCTCCAGCACCCCGCTCTTCAGGCCTTAACAGGCCTCAGTCCGGGGAGGGGGTTGAAAGCACCTGATGAGGCCTCCCGAGGCTCCTCCCTGCTTGGCCCCCTATTCACGTCCAGCTGCTGTCGGTGTGAGGGAGCCTGAGACTGTCCTCCTCCAGTGGTGCCTGAGCTCTCAGTGAAGGCCGCCTCCTTGGCTCTCCCATCAGAGGCCTCCGGGAGGCACGGCTGAGGCCAGACCTCTGGGAGGGCGGGAAGCCCGGATTTCTCCCTCCAGGGCAGCACAAAAGACTGTAGAAGCAGCAGGGGCACAGGCACCAGGCTACTCACCACAGCTTGACTCAAGCGTAAGCAACTAATCTGAGAGCAACCCATTTGAATACCGACCATGTTCATTTTCAAAACTGCTGCATCCCTGACCTTGATGTTAATTTACAACTTGTTGTTGTTCAGTCGCACAGTCGAGTCCGACTCTTCGCGACCCCATGGACCAGGTCACGCCAGGCCTTCCGGTCTTCCGCCGTCCTCTGAAGTTTGCTCAATTTCATGTTCATTGCATCTATGACACTGTCTAACCACCTCATCCTTTGTCATCCCCGTCTTCTTTGGCCTTCAATCTTTCCTAGCATCAGGGTCTTCTCCAGTGAGTGCTCCCTTCTCATTGGGTGGCCAAAGTCTTTGAGCTTCAGTTTCATTATCTGGCCTTCCAGGGAACAGTCAGGGTTGATTTCTTTTAGGATTTGATCTTCTTGCAGTCCAAGGGACTCTCAAGAGTCTTCTCCAGCACCATAGTTCAAATTTACAACTAGCAACATTTATTTCTTTTAGGCTTCAGGAAGACATGAAAGTTACTACTAGCAGCTTCCTCACTATTATGGAGATTGAAGAGGATACAGTTCCGTTTGTAAAAATACAACAAGAACTTTGCCATGAAGAGTTGATTTTAGCCTACATTGTCTGAGGCGGTTTGACCAAAGACATCCAGAGGGCCACAAGAGGAGCTCAAAGTCTACAACAACTGTCATCTTTCCAGAAGAGGTCTCCTGTACTACCACTACCCCCTATATATGGAAAGCCTGTGCCATGAAGAGTTGATTTTAGCCTACATTGTCTGAGGCGGTTTGACCAAAGACATCCAGAGGGCCACAAGAGGAGCTCAAAGTCTACAACAACTGTCATCTTTCCAGAAGAGGTCTCCTGTACTACCACTACCCCCTATATATGGAAAGCCTGAACACCAGGCTCTGACATCACCAAAATGGCGACGAGAGTAGTCATAACAGTCCCCTTGTGGTGATGTGGGGCTAAGCAGGCAGTTTGAATTCAGTTGGTGGAGTGTTGTAGAGAAATTTCAGTTAGAGGAGACTAGTGTTGGCTGTTGACTCTTCCTCTTTAATACTCTGCTAACAACAGTTTCTGTCCTTCATTTCTGGATTAAATATGCCTTTTCGCTGTTGTATTCCTGAATGTATTTTCATGGAAGAAAGAGGTGGGTCGATTCCCGGAAGCTTCCCTTCCCCCCCCCTTCCCCCCCACGGAAGACTGATGCCAAGTGGTGTTTCTGACATTTGCCAGGCATTGGGAGAAATGTTCACTTTGACTCCTAATTATGAGAGGAGCTAAATAACATATGCGGAGCTACAAACGGCAGGGTGAAAATTGCCCTTTTCTTTCCTTTTTTAAAATCATATGTGTTGTTGGGTTGGTTTTTTTTGGTTTTTTTTTTGGGGGGGGGGGGAGAAATAATTCCACCAGACCAGAAAATGGAAGGCTGGATGCTGAAATGGACTTGCACAGATCTGCTTTGAGATTATACATAATGCAAACTCTCCCACCGACCCGA